TTGTGTAGAATGTACTCATTTTCTTCTTGTAATGGGGCGCCCCTCTTCTACTAGGGGCACCCGACGACTGCTGTCTGCTGGGGCGCCCATCTGCTGCCGGAGCAACTATCTTCTGCCGGATATTGTCAATGGGGCGCCCCTATCCTGCTTGGCGAGCCCAACCTCTGCTGGGAGCTCCCTTAATTTCTGATTAACTTTTGCTGTGGTGCCTCTCTTCTGCTGGGCGCCCCTCTTCTGCTGGGGCGCCCCTCTTCTGCTGGGAGCGCCCCTCTCCTGCTGGAGGCCCCTCTCTTCTGCTGGGGCGCCCCTCGACTTTGCTGGGGCGCCCCTCTCCCGCTGGAGGCCCTTTCTTCTGCTGGACCCCTTCTGCTGCCGGGGGCGCCCCTCTTCTGCCAGTGGCACCCATTTTCTTCTTATGGAGCTCCTCTTTTTTGCTGGGGGCGCCCATCTGCTGTCAGGGCGCCCCTCTTCTTCTCGGAATTCTCTCTCCTTTTGCTGGGGCGACGCTCCTCTTCAGAGGGACACCTCTCCTGCTGGGAGTGCCCTTCCGCTGCCAGGGCCGCCCCTCTGGCACAGAAGGTATTTTCATTCTTGTAATGAGACGCCCCTCTTGCTGGGGGCGCCCATCTGCTGCTGGGACGACTCCCATCTGCTGGGAATGGCCAATTGGGCGTCGCTCTCCTGCTTGGTGAGCCCAACTTCTGCTGGAGGCGCCCTATTTCTGCTGAACCTTTGCTGTGCCGCCCGTCTTCTGCTCGGGGCGCCCTCTCTGCCGCGGGATATGGGCGCCTTTTTCGGATGGGGGGGGGGGCGGCCGCCTCCGCCGCCCCCCCCCCCCCCTGGATCCGCGCCTGGCTGGCACGGAGGTCAGCGCTGGTCGGCATGTACACCGTTAACGGCGCCGTCTGCGGCGGCGGCGGCGGCGGCGGAGGCACCAGCACCCCGCCGTATCGCTCCGCCGGCGGCTGGACGGACTCCATGGGCGGCGGGAAGAGCCCCAGCGCGCAGACGGGTGGCATGAAGTACAGCGGGTCCAGCGGCGGCGGCAGCAGGCCGCCCACCTCCAGCGCAGGAAAGTCGCCGTAGAAGGTGCTCGTCAGCGGCGGGTAGCTGTAGGTGAACGGTCCACCGGGACCCATAAGCTTGGCGGGCTGTTTGACGGTTTAAAAAAACGCTGATAATACATACTACATAAAACGCAAATGCAAACTTCGCAAAAAAAATCGCCCGTCCGCCGAAAACCGCAAAAAAAACGCCGCAAAAACGCGCGTCCGCCACAAAACGCAAACACCGCAAAAAACGCAAACACTCTGATGGACAGGTCAAACTTTCAGTACCCTCGCGATAACTGCTTTTACAGCTAACCTGAAAATTTCATGACCCTGACCTTAATGATCTTTGACCTGTGACCTTCTTTCGAGACCATGTTTGGCCGGAATCGCGATTCAGGGTATGTCGGCTCGCATTAGCCGCGGGTTTTCGGTCTTTTCTTGGTTTAAAGCGTTCAAACATGGGATATTATGTTGCTCCCATGCATTAGGGTGGGTGTCAAGGTCACCAGAAGGTCAGGTAAGGTCATTGACCTTTGATGACCTTGGTTCACTTTTTCGAGTTTTACATGTTTCTCGGCTAGTTTTTGGAGCTGAATTCGAATCTAGCTACCATTTGAACATTTACTATGTAGCTTTGGTGCCTTCATAGCATGTTACAAAGCTGTCAGAGGCGGTTGCCACCTACTGCAAATACCCGGCAAACCCTTACTGGTTGACCTGACCTGACCTGACCTGACCTGGCCTAAATGTATGAAGACATCATCTATGATCGTAAATAACATTATATTCGTGATCAGCACCAAAAAAAAAAAAAAAAACATAGCAGCCACCCTTTACGACGTTCTAAAATCTAACAGGACCCGATTTTCCCGACTTTTGGGTCATTGAACTGACCTGGAAGGTCAACCGATGACCTAGGACCTTACAATTGGGCATCATCAGCTTCCTCTTGTCACGGGCAACACTCTCGTCTTTTCCGCGAAGCTCTAGCTCGATCAGGGGCGAAACGGCGGGGGGTCCAACGGACCCCTTCTATACGTTCGCGGCTGGAAAAACACCACTAGGGGCGAGGGTTAACCCGCGCCCCGTTGGGCTCTGCCGAGCAACGCGCCCGGTTGGGGGGGGGCCATTTTGGCCCCCCCCCCCCTAAGATCTCGAGAACCACGCAACATAGCGACAAGCGGTAAACGGCGTTGGATAGCCCCAACGGGGAACTACCTTGTGACCCAATTTTATTGACCTAGGTCAAACCGATGACGTCACAGGTCAGGTCAAAGGTCCAATTTTCACCGTTTACAGGCACTTCAAGAAATGCTTTGTAAAATCGAGTAAAATGCATTTCATTGAAAATCATCGATGGGGAAATGTTCTTCAAACACATACTTTGCTATTTGAGGTCACTGATACCAGGTCAGGTCACAGAGGTCAGGTCACGGGGGGTCACAATATGAAAGTGTCGTGTGATACATGTTTTATGGTCCATTTTACATGACAAATGCGATTATATGGGTCAGGCAGCCTTTGGGGCCAGCTTAGATCACGTTTTGGTCAAGGTCAGGTCAAGGTCAGGTCAAGGTCAGGTCAAATTAGGTCAAATTTCAAAGTTAATATTTTTGCATAAAATGGGTATCGAATCGATGCAGCTCGTCACGGGGAGTTCAATGGTGGTCTTTGTTTTGCCGTAGGTGGTCAAGAATTGCTAAAAATTGAGTTCAAAAATTTGACGTCATCATTTTTGAACAGTTTTTTCGCTATAACTTGGCCAAAAAACGAGATATCGATCTGAAATTTGGTATGTATATAGAAGAGCGCTGGAACTATCACATATATTCCGGTTTTTTCGAAATTCGGAAAATTTTTGGATTTTTTCAAAGTTTTTCTAAAAATTTCAATTTTTTGAATTTTTTTTGGTCAAAAACCAAAAATTTTGAAAATCCGAGATAGCAGTTTTGTAGCGCCGCTTTTTGTCTACTAGACCATATAAAGAACTTTGAAATTGCTTGATAACTGTAGATTTGGTGAGCGTTTCAAGATTGCATGTTTTTTGCTCATTTTTGCTCGAACATGACCTCAGTTTGACCTCAATAACTCCTGACCTAAGGTGACCTGAGACTTGAAATTTGGTGTGAAGGTGTCAAATTGATGCCCGGGAAGGTACTGAAAATTTGGCGGCGCTGCGCGCCGCCGTTTTCTTGCTATTCAGGAAAAACCACAGGGGGGGGGGGGCCAAAATGGCCCCCCCCCCCAACGGGGCGAGGGTTAAGCCAAATCTGAAGGCTTATTTCAGAAAGACCGCTAAAAGAGCAATTGAATGCACTTTTCCGCGACGATGTAGGTAGCTCTATTGGTCCCCGAGGTAAGGGCCGGTTTTCGAGAAATGTTGATATATGCAACATTTTACCTTTGATGACCTCTGGTGACGTGACCTTTGACCTGACTAGAAATGACTAATTACTCCATCTGGAATTTCGGGCGCTCTTTCGAATGCCACTTACTACGTGTCGCTATGTGGCCCAAGAGCCGAGTTAGAAGGGGAGTGTTCAGTCAACACCTCCCGGCCCGGCGCGTTTGACGCCGAGCACCGGTCCGGCGCGGGTTGATGTTTGGCTGCTACATCCAAAGTCGCAAAAAGTCGCAAAAAATGACTGTTGGATCTTGTAGTGCAATGAATCATTGACATGTAGCGAGATTTTCGAAGCGGTACTCTGCGGTACTTTTTTTAAAAGTCTATTTGTGTGTGACATCAATTATGTGAAATTATATTTTCGTCTTTAAATCTTTGCGGTGCCAATACATCATAACCAAGTAAGAGTTCGCCATTTTCATGTGGTTATGTGTGTTCTGCAGACCCGGAGCTATCCTTTGATGTATATAAATGTGGAATTCCTCCTCAAATTGTGATTGTTTTCGTGGATCAAAGATACGTTGTCGAAGAGTGCGGGGGACGAGTTCGGTCCAAACGATTCCGAAGTTCGTGTTTAAGCTGAGTTTTCACCATGAAATAGCAATTGTGTTGGAAAACAAAGACCACAGCAATGTAGTATGATCATTTTTGAACAAATTTGTATAGGTTTCATTCAGGGATGCGGAGCCAGAGCCGGAGCCGGAGCCGGAGCCGCCGGAGCCGGCATATTTTGCCCGGAGCCGGAGCCGGAGCCGGAGCCGTGAAACAATATAGCCCGGAGCCGGAGCCGGAGCCGGAGCCGTCAAAAAAGGGGGCGACTCCGGCTCCTTTTCTCAAGAGGAAACAATTATTTACCTAGTTCGGTTTGACAGTACAAGGCGTAAAAAAATGTGGTATTCAAAATAGCCTTGTTATACAAATACAGAAGCAACGTGTACCAATCCCATCGCCTTTTTTCTTCCACCCGTATTTAATTGATCGCATAGGGGATGTACTGAGTAGAAGCCGGAGCCGGAGCCGGAGCCGCCGGAGCCGGATCATTTTACTCGGAGCCGGAGCCGGAGCCGGAGCCGCCATGACATTTCACCCGGAGCCGGAGCCGGAGCCGATTTTTTTCTCCGGAGCCGGAGCCGGAGCCGGAGCCGTCTGAAATTTCCACGGCTCCGCATCCCTGGTTTCATTGCACATCCACAAAGTTCGATTTTTTTACCCATGTCGTGCTAGACCTGGCGATCGGCCCAGTGTGCTGCGGCCGGGGGCGCTGGCTGGCACAGCGATAATCCCCACGACCGAGCGAACACTCCCCAGTTACTGCCATCTCCTGGGTAGGAGCCGGCCGAGGAAAATGCTGCCAGAGGCCAGCTTTGATCCAAGGACCTTCCACACCAAACGTGAGCGCACTTGCCAACTGCGCGACAAGGGTGGTACAAATCAAATAAATTAATCACAGACAGAACCCGGCTCCCTCCATTACCCTTCAAATCATGCCCACCAGACCCCAGCAAAACACTCTTACACGCAATCTCTACGGCTGATCTACCTACCTCCTCGGTGGACGACATCTTGCGTTTCTGCGTGGTCTTTTTCCGCAGCAGAGCGGCAGAGAGCACGTTCGGTGCGGCCAGCGGGTCCGGTGAGTTGATCGGAGACCCGGAGCGAGACGGCTTGGTGCTCTGTGGCTCCTTCTGGTGGTCGTAACGGGAAACGCTGGTCAGCGGCTGGTCTCACCGACGGGTGGCGAGGATCAGCGTCAGTCGTGGATGTGGAGGCGATGTGGTAAACCATAGGGAGCATGTCATTACCAGCACCATCGCAAAGGAGCACGCCATTGTTCGTGGATTGGTTGGTATAAGACTGCCTAGTCGAGAATGACGAAATGAACAGAGACTGAGCTAGTGAACCCAACCCACACAAACACACTCAGTGAAACTTACTCCAAATTATAAACATGACAAAACAAAAAGCCTACAGGGCAGTCGTTTCTACAGTCAACCGATCCGCCCGGTCGTCGTTCTGTCACCTTTTTCGGCGTGTTGAGGCCGGTCGTGGTGCACTGGGTGGTGGTGGTGGGCGCATCCTTGTCCTTGCGCGGGAACTGGATGCGCCGCAGGTCCAGCCTCTCCTCGCCCACCCACTCATCCAGCCGTTTGTTGTCTGCGGAGAGATGTCGGGGAATATGACTCCGGCAGTGTCGAGTGGGGGGGCTGGTCGGTACGGGAGACAGGACTGCGGATCGAATGACAAGACAGCAGACACTTAGTTTGAGGTTTGATTGATAAGCATCAGTAACTTGAAACATGTACATGCCATTAGGGAAAGATCCCAAGCTTGTGCAAAACAACTGATTAAAAGTGACACTCGTCATTCAAGCTTAATTTAGGCCAGTTAGAAATGTAGCATTGTTGCTAACACAAAAATACATGTATTTGTCAATTATTATGAAGCAACCTTCACACAACAACTCTAAAGTGACAGTGGTGGTAACATCCTGACAGTTGCTGGCCATCTGCAAGTGTACTCAATGAAGTGGTCAGCTTCTATCCCACCTAACCATACTCACAGTCAATATAGTGGACATAGAAGATGAGTCGTCCATCATCTTCCTCCTTGATACTGACAATCTCAGCCAGAGCTGTGGCAAGGGCAGCATTCAGTCAGTGGGCATAGAAAAACAGACGCAAAGAGCCCACAATGAGCCAGGAAGACCATGAGAGGGACCATGAGACAGGAGAGGATCATGAGCATAGCTCAGTTGATATCTCAATGGCATGACACAACAACAAAGCAGTGTGACAGTTGATTGTTCAGCAAACTACTTACGCCATTCATCTGTCTTCAGCATATGAACTGGTAGTTGACATCCTTCCACCACAGATGCCTGGAAACAAATTGGTGGTGAAATCTCTAAGTTGCGAAAATATGGTCATCTTAAATAGCCAAGTAGGTAGGTAGTGAGTTTCCTACTATAAACAAATGATGTTGTTAGTGCCCAAACCTACTGACTGCATAATGAGGCTTTTTCTAGAGCCTGAATTTCCAGTTGAATTTCAAACTCCCTTCTTCTGTTCAGCTGCTTTGTTAATGCAAAAGAGAGGTTATCTAATGACATACTTAAAATACCCATATCTTTATTCAAGCATAGCATTTCAAAGTTCAAATTCACAATAGAGTGCAGCTATCTTGCAGAAAGATGCATATGACAAAAAGTAGGTATATCAGAGTTGCCAGCTACATGCTAAAGTGCCCTGCAGCTTTGGCAATATGAGCTGATCAAGGGTTGATAGCAGGAGTTAAATTTATAACTTTTGTCTGCCAATATATCCAAACTCTGCTTCTAACAATCACCTACAAGGATCTCCTACAGGTTGATTCTACAGAAAAGCATTCAGCTTCACAGGGTGGTAAACAACTGGAACTCCCTGCAGAGTGCAGTGGTCATGGCACAGTCTGTCAACCAGTTTAAGGCCAGGCTGGACGAGCATTGGGGTGAAATCATGTACGACACCCCTTATCCCTGAGAGCTTAAGCCAGTATCCCGATATGGGCTCAATGAAAGCGGAATCCCCAGGCCAAGTGGCCTTTTTAATCCCGATCACCACAAAGCTAAGGTAAGGTAACCAATTTCAATCCAGTCAGCTCTCCCTTCTTAGTCTCCTGCCACATTCCAGTCCAGGATATGACTATCACACTGCAAAAAGGCTTGACGAGATGGGAATCTTGCATGCCAAATGCAGCTTTCAGCTTAAATATCAGATAAGGTAAGAGAAGATATTGTTGGATTAACATCAATTAGGTAGATCAACTTAGCAAATTAAATCAAATAAATTTGTTTTAAGTGTCAATAATTTAAATATGAAATAAAAATAAACAACAAAAATACAATAATGGCGCATGAAATACCACGCCTTTATATGAAGCACTTGATAAAAGCAACAGGACATCATCGAAAAACATACCACTGAGTCTTTTATCAAATCTTCCCCGTCGGGGACACTTGACATTTTCATGGGCAACCGCCAAAACCAAATATTTATTAGAGCTCTCAAGGGTTGCAGATTTGGCAGCAATTTGTGGCGTCTCAAATTTTGCAGAAAAACGTAAAGTAATTTTGCTACAGCAGAGGAAAACCTTCACAAACATGAAGGTTTCATTGTTAAAAATTATCACGCTAGATGTCACTAGCAGCAGAAACCCTGAGCGATGATGACGTTGAATACTTTGTCAGAATTTTTACCCTGCTCTATGCAGATGATACAGTTATTCTAGCAGAATCTGCAACCCAGCTACAGAAGGCCCTTGATGCAGCCCATGACTATTGTAAACACTGGGGACTTTCAGTTAACAGCACAAAAACTAAAGTTATGATCTTTTCAAAGGGCAGAATCCGCAACAAACCAAGCCTCAATTTCGGAGGAGACGAGTTAGAAGTAGTCAATGAATATGTGTATCTGGGGACCACATTCTCATCAAACGGTTCCATGAAGGCCGCCGTAGAAAAGCAGATAGCACAGGCAAACCGCGCTTTGTTTAAAATCCGAACAATTGCGTCCTCTCTCAACCTGTCAATTGACACACAATGCGAACTTTATGACCGCATGATTCTACCTATACTGATGTACGGGTGTGAAGTCTGGGGTACTAAAATGATTGACCGGATTGAACTTTTTCATCGGAGATTTATGAAACAGCTTCTGAAACTACCAAGGTCTACAGCAAACTGCATGTTGTATGGCGAACTCGGGAGATACAGTCATGAAGGCACGGTTGTTAAAAGGATGATAAGTTACTGGCTACGGGTAAAGAAAGGAGCTTGCAGTAATCTCGCACACACAATGTACATGTTTCAAAAGGCGCAACTGGACTCGCAGTCGCAGCCGAATCCCAAACTGAATTGGCTCCTTAATGTCAAAAGTATTTTAGATATCAATGGCTTCAGCAACATACTCAACTGTAATGAAATAAGTAAACCCTGGATACTGAAATCGCTGGAGAGAAGAGTAAAAGACATATTTGTGCAAAAATGGAACGCAGAAATGGAGGCGAATTCCTTGTGCACGAACTATAGAATGTTTAAAAACTCGCACAACAGAGAGCCCTACTTAACAGAACTGCCGTTCAAGCACTCGCAGAAACTCCTCAAATTTAGGTGTGGTATACACAAACTACCCATCACTCAAGAAAGGCAGGAACACAAAGCCCAAGGACCCTCGCTACAAATATGCCCACTATGTGGAGCACAGAGTCTTTGTGATGAGTCTCACTACGTCTTACACTGCAGGGGTATTGCTGAAAAACGCGAAAAACTATTCCCGAACATCCTAAACTCGTACCCTCATAACCGCAAACTTGAATACTTTCTCAATGTAACGCAACGACCGCAGCTATTCAAAATCCTGAAGCTTATAGAGGCAATCACATCTCACTTCAGCTGATACTGGCCCTCATATTAGGTATCTTATGACTCTGATGTTACATATGTACGCAAATATGTTCTTTTTATTCAAGCTGTGTTTTGCACCTTGCAGTATCTGCCTATGTCTGGTCAGTGACCATATGCGAACATGTGTATTGAGAAGTTTCGAATCACTCTTCTTATTCCCAACTTGTTGCAGTTGGGCTGTGTCGAGCTTATTCATCTTTGTTGTCATGCCGTCCGCCCTGGCGCTGCCGGCTCACCTAGTCTTTCGCCAAACGACCTGATTATAGCTGTTTGGCAGTTTCGAGTCACGAGTGTCTGCAACATTAATAGTCATCATTGTTTGCTGTTTGACGGTTGACCGGCTACTTGCTCAGGATACGGTGTTGTATATAATCCTCGCAACCAAGGCTATGTAAACCCTCGCAACATAGGTAGCTAGATATGTGCCATAAACTGTATAGTAGTACCTATTTAGTACAAACTTTTCATGTGTGTATAGTTGTTGTGATTCAAGCACCGATGTTCTTTCCCTTACCCCGACATGGGGTCGTGGAACAATACATTCATTCATTCATTCATTCAGTTGATGTTCCTTTTGCGCGCCACCGCCAAGGCCATCTATAGAAGGTACAGTCACTCCCCCGCCGACCAATCAGAGACAGATCCTGAGTGACGTCATCCCTGATGCTCGGAAGGGTACTCCATTCCTTTGCAACGTAAAAATGACTAACTTCATTTGAAGATTATTGATGGCACTCTGCACATACCGCTCAGCCGTTGATGTCAATGGAAAGCCCAACTAATTTTACAGCGACAAAAAAGAGCAGCAATATGCTAAGAAATGGCCGGTTTTGAAGATATAGACGATTTAAAACCCCTCTGCAGCAGCAGGAAAGCAACGTGAAAACGCATCGAGCTTATATTTTTACTATGGATAAATCATTTTTCAGTAAGTTTTTAGATGTGGTATAGATTTAAGTTACAACTTCATTACAATATTTTCATTACTTGAAACTTTATTTCAAAATAATATTTTCAAAAATGGCAGCTGTTGGCCAGTACCTTGGGAGCGATTGTGGCGCACCGCGCCATTAATTGTCCTGAGGCCCCCTTATGATGTCATCAAAAGTGGAGTGACATGGGCCGGCCACCGCGACCGCGGGTCCCGGCACGTTGCGTCGCGTCGTTGACGACGTCGACGAATTCAAGAAATTGCAAGCGACGGTCGGTGTGAATTCTCAGGACGACTTCGCTGCGTTGCGATAAAAGGTAGTTATAAAAAGGAGTTATAGAAGGTTTCTTGGAATATATTTGTAAAATATTGCAATATATCAAGCCCAAGGTAACAAATAACCATAGTGATAGGTAGTGGTTCCAGATGAGAAAGGTGGTGTGGTTTTTATGCTGATGCTGGGGGCTTGGGCATACTTTCTGGAAAAATAAATTCTGAACCTTTTGAATGGAAAACTTTATAAGGACAGGGCCTACTTGACCCTGTGGCCTGCCCTGAACCCTCTGATCATGCAATACCTACAGGGGCGGATCCAGGAAAACTCCAAGGGGAGGGTCATGAATCGAAGTGGTGCCCCTACCTATACCCAAAATTAAAAACTCAACGGATTTTGTCCACTTCATTTTGGTGGTGCCCCCATTTTCAGGGTTTTTTTTCTTTTTATTTTTTATTTTTAGTCAGTAGGTATCTTAACTCTTAGCCACAACCACATTTACCAATTGTAAGCAAGTATATATGAATGTGCTATGTGTATATATGTTGTGGACGCTGAGTAATGAGTACTTACCAGGAACGTTATCAGGTAAGCGAATCGTTGTCAGTCCGACAAACTTGACCCTGGCGTCTAAAGGGTCTGTCCTTGACACTTCAGGCTTGTCAGGGGCACCAAAGTCCTTCCAGGGACACCACAAACCTGTCAGGGGTACCTACGGCCTTGTAGGGGCGCCACAGGTCCGCCAGGGGCACCACAGGCCTGCCAGGAAGCAGGGGCACCACAGGTCTAGCAAGTATACACGACAGGCCTGTCAGGGGCACAACGGGCCTGTTGGGCCCATGAGCACCCCTAGGGGCAGGGGCACCACAGTCCTTCCAGGGGCACCGCAGGCCTGTGAGGGGCACCAGCGGCCTAGCAGGGGCACCAGTCAACACAGGCCTGCCAGGGGCACCACCGACCTGCCAGGGGTACCAGAGCCCTGCCAGGAGCACCACCGACCTCGCAGGGGTAACTTGGGCCTGTCAGGGGCACCACGGGCCTGTCGAGAGGCACTTCAGGCTTTTCAGGGGCACCATAGTCCTCTCCGGGCGCAGGGGTAGCAGGGGCACCAGAGGCCTGCCAGGGGCACCACAGGCCTAGCAAGGGCACCACGGGCCTGTCATGGGCACCTCAGGCCTGTCCGGGCCCAGGGACATCACAGTCCTTCCAGGGGCACCACAAGCCTGTCAGGGGCACCAGAGGCTTAGCAAGGGCACCACAGACCTGCCAGGGGCACTACAGGCCTAGCAAGGGCACCACTGGTCTATCAGGGGCACCACGAGCCTGTCATAGCCAGGCATCTCAGGCTTGTCAAGACCCAGGGGCACCACAGGTCTGTGAGGGGCACCAGCGACCTAGCAGGGGCACCAGTCAACACAGGTCTGCCAGGGGCGCCACAGACCTGCCAGGGGCGCCACAGACCTGCCAGGGGCACCACAGACCTGCCAGGGGCACCAGAGGTCTGCCAGGGGCACCACCGGCCTCGCAGGGGCACCTTGGGCCTGTCAGGGGCACCACAGGCCTGCCAGGAGCACCACAGGCCTAGCAAGGCACCACTGGCCTGTCAGGGGCACCACGAGCCTGTCATGACCGGGCACCTCAGGCTTGTCAGGGCCCAGGGGCACCACAGTCCTTCCAGGGGCATTACAAGCCTGTCAGGGGCACCAGAGGCCTAGTAAGGGCACCACAGGCCTGCCATGGACACCACAGGCCTGCCAGGGGCACCACCGGCCTTGCAGGGGCGCCTCAGGCCTGTCAGGGGCACCACGTGCCTGCCGGGGACACTTCAGGCTTGTCAGGGGCGTTACAGTCCTGTCAGGGCCCAGGGGCACCAGGCCCGTGGTGTCCCTGCTAGGCCTGTGGTGCCCCTGGCGGTCCTGTGGTGCCCCTGTCAGGACTGTGATACCCCTGATAGGCCGTTGGTGCCCCTGGCAGGTCTTTGGGCCCCCGGGCCTCAAGGGGGGGCCATGACCCATGTGACCCCCCCCCCCCCTTGGATCTGCCACTGAATACCTATAGTCTATATGGCAGAATTTAGAGTCCATTTCAAGTTATAGAAAATGTGTCAATAGCTGCACATTGGAATGGTGGGTCCCTTCGCCTGTTTTTATTCGCTGTGGCCTGCTAGCAATCGCAACATGTCAGGAGCAGCCTCATAAGCTGAAACATTGAGTGCCTATCGAGTGTTGCACCTCATACTGCGGATTTTTGCAACAGGACCTATGCTCTCACCGCAGATTCCAGCGCTACACCTACAGCTGAGCTATGTGGCTAGCAATTAGCATACTGCTAAATACCTACTCCCCATAAATTTTGTCAGATTTCCCTGAACTTTTCCCATTTTGCTTGCTAATGCACTGCTGTGCAATTAAGACATTATAGTTTAGAGCAAACTGTTAAGGTTTATGAGAGGGAAACAAACTTCATCAATTTTTGGCTCTGAAGAAGAGCTGAGTGCAGAATAGGTACTTGTCCAATATGAGCCCCTCTAGGATCTACTGGTGAGCAGACAAAGTATTGCATAAGGAGCAGTTTAAGTTACATAAGGCTGTATTCTTGACACCAGTGCATGAATCTAGTGTCTAATCCTATGTTTAATGGTAGTTTCAATCAGCTAATGCCTGAACTGGGCATGATTTTTGGAAATGGATGTTGTCATGTGTCTCTTATTATAAGCATGCTGTCAGTTTTCTGATATTGATTTGTGGAAAAAGTAACTTTCTGGCATTGCTAAATTATATGCCTCACATAATGAACCTGATTCCCTACCAATGTGAGGCTGGGGAGCATGCTCCCCAAAAGTTGTGTTCTGTTTGTTGATTTCAATTTTGTTCTGTTAGTCATCCAATGGTGACTGAGATCACAGCTCAAAGTGCCCTGATTCAAGTCTGTGATCTCAATTGGAATTGCTGTGGATCTTTATCTGATCATGGTTCAGGGGTTGTGGGCTGTGTGGAACTGGGATCCACACAGGTTATATAGCAAGTTCATGGTTGGTCACCAGATCTCATGTGATCACAGATTCAATTCTTGGATACATGCATGTCTGCCAAATTTCCTGAAGATCATTTGATTCCAATGAAAGTGTTCATGACCCTTAAATCCAATTAAATGGAAAATTGTAGTTGCCTACAATCGTCCATTTCATAAATTAAAGTAGTAGCATCTTTTTTTATCTGATAATAAAATCACAGACAGACTCCAGAGGGCTTTCTTACCCACTGCATCCACAATTATGGAGAAAAAAAAATACAGCAGAAAAATTTTCACAGCATCATGTAAGATAGGAGAGTCTGGGAGTTTTAGAACTTGGAAAACCTTTCTTTGGGTCCCATGTGAAGTATATAACTTAAGTCTAATATTGCTCCAATGTACAAGGCCTAGGGATCAATGGCAATAAAGAGATCCTGATCTCTGCTGCTTGGCTCATTTCCTCGTTCAAGCAGTAGTTCTGAAACTGCTGGTTAGCCAGCAGCCTTCTCACTGTACCACTAAACAGCAGTGTGGTCCCCAACCTGTTTTCTACAGATGAATCGGATGAGGGGGGGGGGACGGTGCATCATATGTAGGACGTGGGACACTGCTGGATGCCAGAATAGTGATGTGGCAGTGATGGCTTCATTTCCAAGACCCCTTGTCATACGCATTGCGCCCACAACTTGCCCCAGCTCTGTGTACGGCGAAGGGAGGAGCGTCATTGATAACATCGACGACCTTTGGGGACATCGATGTCACCGTTACCACCCATTAAATAATGGCGAGTTTGATGGTTCCGACGAGCTGGCATGACGACGTCGGGTCTGTGTCACTGCCTCCACCCACTACCAAATCTTGCCATGCGTGCGACTGCGGATGTTGCGTTTTACCGTGTGTTTAACGGAAAACGCTGCGCACCCGGTCAGTGTCCCAAAATTGAATTTCGTCTTGGGTGTCAGAGGGGAAAAATACCCACCAAAAAGAGGGGAGAGAGTGGAAAACTGATGTGATTAGATCCAAAAAGAGTGAGAAAAGACAAAAAGCATGCATTTTATTCTAGGGTGTAGAATGTTGGATGCTAAACCGGCCATCCACACCACTGCTCTTTCAATAGGTAAAAAATATAGGTTTTCTTGGTTGGGAGTGGAAATTTTTCTTAAGAATTGGTGGTGAGAGTGGAAAATGAAATTCATTTGGATGTCGTTTCCCACCCAAGTCAACAAATTTTGGGACATTGCACCCGGTGGTATTCGACGGAATGAGTGGTTATACGCCAATTTACCGGCGTTGTGGCTCCCCGGCCAGCCTTTGCCGTGTGTACGGGAGGTAGGCTCGCCAGTCGCCGTGTTGAGTGTTCATTGTGTGAAAGGTCGCTAGGAGGCCACTCATCGCCACCATGAACAGTCAGAACTCAGATCTTTTTATTTTACTTGCGAACTAATGAGGGTTCTTCGCGACTCCCCACCAATCCTCTTCCCGTAATATGTGCCTTTTTCACTCGTGAATTGCTGTAGACATCGGTACTGCCATATCTGTCCTAACACCCCAATTATCTCGTTACAGAGACCATGTCGGACGACCTGCCCTTCCGCGCCGAGTACTCGAAGTCGGGTCGGGCCGGCTGCAAAGGATGCAAGGGAAACATCGCCAAGGACACGCTGCGCATGGCTGCAATGGTGCAGGTAGGACGACGATTTCTCGTAATGTTTTTCAACAATTTTGTATTGATAAAGTCATAAATTATCACTTGCTGGTTTAAATTGAATGTGTGTGGTGTTCGGTATGTGCTGTATCGTATTGCAGACTTAATTTTGCGTTGTGTCGGCTTATTTTACGTTCTCTTTTCAGTCGCCGTTTTTCGACGGCAAAATGGCGAAATGGTACCATTTCTCATGCTTCTTTGAGAAGCAAAAGCCGAAAGCTGTTGCCGATATCGGACATTTCGAATCACTGAGGTTCGAAGATCAGGAGAAAATCAGGGCGAAGATTGGAGGTAAGTTTACTGCCGGAACTCTGATCATCGGACGTCTCTCGAACGCAATGAAATTCATTTATATACAATTGTCAATACAATTGTGTATGTATTCTGAGCTTGTAGTCTTTGTAAACTACCATGGGCGGGTAGCAAGAGATGCATTTTTTTTTTTTCACCACCACCATGTCAGTTTCTATTTCATCAGCCGAAGGATATTGAAATGCGAATTTATTGATTGAAAAAAAAATAGTATCCCTGCTCTTGACTATGGAAACAGGGTACCGATGTTATTGGCCGCGGTAATGATGCCACAAAAGATGTGACTGTTTCATGGTGTGAATGATTGGTCTCCTAGGAACCATTCACATCTTGGCCGACACGGTGGAGCCTACCTCTCGTAAAACGGCCATGACTGGTCGGAAAGCCTTCGTCCAGTCCAGATCGCTAGGAGGTTATTGACGCATTGCTTCCTGTACAGCGGGCGGAGCCACCGGCGATGCAGGAGCCGGAACCAGCAAGGCAGCAAAAGCCAAGGCCACAAAACAGGCCCTGCAGGACTTCCTCGCCGAGTACGCCAAATCCGGCGCCGCCAAGTGCAGAAAGTGCGAAGAGAAGATATTAAAGGTATGGCTCTCTATTTCCATAGCAATACACCTTGTTTCAATTCTTTGTTAAATCGCTGGCATAACTCATTTCGTCTCGTAGTTGTCCATGGTGTATTTGAAGTTGCCACGGTATTGTTATTTGACAAACATCAAACTAAAATAGTTCATTAGATTATATGGAGTCCACTACTAATCTGTCTTTTCTCAGGGTGAGGTGCGACTCGGTAAGAAGGTGTACGATTCTGAACGGGCCCGCGCCTACGGACCGTACATGGGCTGGCATCACGTGGACTGTTTCGTCAAAGATCGCGAGACGCTCGAGTTCTTCGAGGAGGGGGCGAAGATGCCGGGTCTGAAGACACTCTCCAAGGAAGACCAACAGATGGTAAAGGCCAAGCTAAAGAAAATCGAAGGGTAAGTACTAAGTACTACATGAGCGGATGAGGTGTGTGAGGGTATTTTGTGTTTTTACGAAAGAACGTCATAAAGTTTCAGTACAGTCACAGTGGGCATTTGGCAAGACAGAAAGCAATTGACAAAATGTTTGTCTGAGCGCATATATGTATTCACATCAAGAGCTTTCCATATATGACGAGTTGGAGGGTATTTGATAACCAGGGAAATTCCGTGATTTGTGACCGAATGCATCCTACGCTTCGTGTTCCGCAGAAAGAGGCCAGCCGAGGATGCCGTGGACGGGCCCTCCAAGAAGCCGAAGAAGGAGGAGGCGGGCCCGGACCGCTCCAAGCTGAAGAAGCAGAGCCAGCTGGTGTTCGGTTTCCGGGATCAGCTGAAGAAGCTGGGGAAGCGGGAGCTGCAGCTGCTGCTGGAGGAGAACGATCAGGAGGTGCCCAGCGGCACGGAGCGGGTAAGGCGGCCTCCCGATCGACCCGCTGCTCTGGTGGCCATCTCGGCCCGAATCGGTCCGAGAGATGACTTTGTGTATGGCGTATTTGTCATGGACTTTTGACAGTAACATTACAGAGACTTACTTTGCTGTCACGGTGATATAACATCGCTCATCTGGATGAGTCTCATGGGATATTGTTTTATCGGCTGTCTGGAAAAACGCGGTTATATAAATGCAGTTTTGCTATGCGAATGTGCGTGATGGTGGGCTGACGTGTGACGCTAAGCAGAGCTTGTTCCAAATGACACCGCGTACTGTCCGTACTTAGCCTTTGTTCGGCTCAATGATGTGCATTTAAATCAGGTACATACTTTCAGTATGCAAACGTGCAAGCAACTCTTTTCGTCATTCTCGCCATCGATTTCACCTTCGTGGTTTCTTATTTGTTGAGTCTTCATGGCTTAGTCTGCTCCAATAAATGTAGGTTTTCGACATGTATGGCATAATATCGATCTAACACGTCTCCCTCTTCCGTTTCTGATCAGATGCTGGACCGTCTCTCCGACGGGATGGCCTTCGGTGCCCTTCTGCCGTGCCCCCTCTGTAAGAACGGACAGCTGGTGTTCAGGTAAGGCCTGTTAGGCGCGCTTCTGCCGTGCCCCCTCTGTAAGAACGGACAGCTGGTGTTCAGGTAAGGCCCGTGCGGCGCCCTGCTGCCGTGCCCCCCCCCCCCCCCTGTAAGAAGTAAGAACGGACAGCTGGTGTTCAGGTAAGGCCCGTGCGGCGCCCTGCTGCCGTGCCCCCTCTGTAAGAACGGACAGCTGGTGTTCAGGTAAGGCCCGTGCGGCGCGTTCGCTGTGTAAGAACGGACAGCTGGTGTTCAGGTCAGGCCCGTGGGTGGCCGGACAGGTCAGGAGGGGACGACAGACGATCACTGGGAGGTTCGAGACGATAAAACCGTGTCCTATTCTGCTTTCATTTAGGTTTTGTGATTTGTTTGTTTAGCTCGTTGGTAAATTATTAGGAATGAAAATTTGTCCAATTCGTATTTTATCCTACTCGTTCAGTAATTGACCTAACTATTACCAACATCAAATGTCACGTTTCAACTGTCATTGCATGTGATATATGATGCATCTACTTTTCTTTGATTTTAATGTATTTGTATCATTTCTTTTTCTGCCGCAATGTCCCTGTTTCAGCGGGTAAGGAAATAAAATAGCAATATTCATCATATCATGCGTGTAGCTGCATAGTTATAGAAAATATTTTGATATGTTTATGGATGGACTCATCAGTTGTGAACAGCTCTTCATTAATTGGGAGGTTAACTTTGCGATCAATATTAAATGTAAGAGGACTGTAGATATTAGGTATACATATAAGCACTTATCCCATAATTCGATACCTGTGGTATGCTACTGCTTTTCGTATTCTACTTAAAAGCTTTCAAAGACGCTCTGCCACTTTGAGCGCTTGAAGATCATTTTCCGACGTTTCCTGACCTGGAAAATTATGTCTGTTCTGTGCGTTTCGCAAAATTTCCCGTCGCTGCTTAAGATGACAATCAGCATCTACAATGTCGTTGCATAACGTCGTACATAATTTGGGATCCCATTAGGAGGTAATTGGACGATTCCATTACATGGTATAATCACGCCGTATGTGGATGAACACTGTCACGTTTCGTCGGGCGTGCTCGCTGCCACCGCCGTCACCCCCTCCCCCCCCCCTTTCCCTCCCAGGAGCGGCGTGGGGTACCAGTGCGTTGGCCAGCTCACCGAATGGACAAAATGCACCAACGTAGTCAAGGTGCCCAAGCGGCGACTCTTCAAAGTTCCAAAAGAGCTAGCCGAAGAGTATCCATTCCTCGCCAGCTACAAGTGCAAGCTGGGTGACCGTCTGATGGAGGATCTGGGGCAGACGTCAGCCACCATGCAGCAGGAGAAGGTGAAGGCCCAGCTGAACGCCACGCCGCTCACCAAGCTGACGTTCGCGGTGGCCGGGGATGTCGATGAAGAGGTCGTGAAGCGGGTGCAGAGGATGGGCGGCAAGCTGGCCAAGTCGGTGACGGCCCAGGTGGCAGCGGTCATCTGCACGAAAGGTGAGTCGGAGCCGGCAGCTGGCGAGGTGTCGGGTGACAAGGCCGCACCCTCACTGGTACTGAGTGAGGCGGGTCCGCCATGGACCGAGCTTCCTGCTCTTAAATATTGCACGTGAACGAGGCGTTTGATAACGATGCTTGATTGCGAATGATATGCCATAAGTACAATTATTAGCGACGTGAATAATGTTTACTAACCGAACGGTATATTAGGCGCTGTTATTGCGTATTATTATTTCATCGTCGCCATAGTATCGTCTTTAAAGCGATCCCTTTTCGCCTCACTGAGCTGTCCACTGCGCAACCGCGTCGTCACCTAACCCCTAGTATTGCTCACCGCCCGGCCCCACGCCCACCCGTCCCTCTCTAGAGACGATGGACGGGGGCCACAAGCTGCTGAAGGCGGCGCTGAAGCACTCGGTGCACGTCATCCCGCCGGAGGCAGTGGAGAAGCTGAAGGCGGGCGCCGTGTTCAAGACCATCGAGGAAACGAACATGGCCGACTGGGGTGGAAAGGTGGGTGTGGAACGACGCCGGTCTGTATAGTGCCTCTTCTTGGTTAATTGATTGAACGATGATGAGATCATTTTCAACAATTTGTTCGTTCATGTGCTTGTATGTTTATTCAGTAGTATTTATTTAGTTGTTAATAAATAATTCGTTTCCAAGTTTTACTGTTTCTGATTGTACATAGTAATTTTTAGTTATCTTTTTTTTTTCTTCTCGTAATGAAAGTTTCTCTGTGAATGGTATGCGGTGCACCTCCTGTAATACCGAAACGTATAATTGCACACTGCACCGGGCGGTGCATACACCGCCTGTCCTGAGTCGTGGACAGGCGGCCACTCCTCGCCCGATATCAACTCGGACCTTCTGATGAGCTTCGACACCGGTAGAGCAGGCCGAGGCACAGATACGAGGTCGACAAACAACTCAGCCCGCACTTCGCGATGGAATAACTACCGGCTATAGAGCTGTTATGTTACAAGCCTGCTGCTGTCATGGAAAAAGTCGTCTAGAAGGTGTGCTGTGTGGAGCTGATCTTAATTTCAATGTTGCAATTTGCAGGTTGAGGAGCGGCTGGGAGCAAAGGAGGAGACATTCAACAAGTCAGGAGCGTCCAAGAGTAAGTGCTTGGGCTTGTTTTCAATAATAAATAGGAGTTGGTTTTTGTTTCAGCAGATCACCGACTTAGCAGGCTGGGTCATAACATGATATTTTATGTCTCGTGGTCTTGGTGCCTATACACACATTTTCATCCTACTCTCATGTAGTTTAGCATTGTTTTTTTCATATCTTTTCTTCCTTGTGGCAGGCATGTTCGACAAGAAGTCGATGACCAAGTCTCAGCGGGTGCGTCTGAAGGGCGGCGCCGCGGTGGATCCCGACTCGGGGCTGGAGGACGAGGCGCACGTGTACCAGTCGGGTGGAGACTTCCTGAACGCAGTGCTCAGTCAGGTGGACGCCGGCTCCGGTCAGAACAGCTTCTACAAACTGCAGGTGCTGCAGGCCGACTACGGCGGCAGGTGAGCCCAGGCTAGTGAAGTGTTAGGAGGGTAGGGGGTCGTAGTGATGCCGCCACAGACAGAAGGGAGAGGCGTGACGATCGCAACCGAGTCGCTTCAGACGACAGGGAGGGGTAGCGGTCGCTTCAGACGGCATCATGCAGGAGAGGGGGTGATGGTTGCAGCCGAGCCTCTGTCAGAAATTGGCTGAGAAAGGAATAGCTGGAGTGATGATTTGAGTCTTGGCTCTTACTGTTTTCTAGTGTATTCTATATTTTCCTAATCGGTAATGGGCGACGGTTGTTTGTCATGGTAATAGCCGCACTTTTTGCATTATTTTTGTATGTATTTTTTATATGTTTCGTGAACGGCAGTTTATCGTACTACATGGGTGTATAAGGTCGGCGGTGATACAGTGGGCGATCTAGTGATCACCAACCAAAGACATCGAACCTGCCCCGTGTCAGCGGCACCAAATGCCTACCCGCCCCGCGTCGACGGCCCCAACTGACCGCGATCGTCTTTCTCGCGATAGCATGTGGGTGTTCCGCGCCTGGGGCCGTCTGGGTACCACTGTGGGCGGCAACAAACTGGAAGAGTTCGACTCCATCCATGATGCCGTGCGTGAGTTCAAACGGCTCTACGAGGAGAAGACGGGAAACCGCTGGGAAGGCAGGAAGGACTTCCAGAAGGTGCCCGGTCGGTTCTACCCGATGGACCTTGACTACGGCGAGGTAGGCGTTGAAAGGGGCACTCATCTCTTTGGCGAGTGCCTAGCTGAGACAAGGGTGACGTATTTATCGTAATGAGCTGCAGAGGTGTATTATAAAAGTGGTCTGGATATGAGTGGTCATGTGTGGCTTATGTGGATTGTGGAATTGCCAGCTTTTGTTTGAGTTACTATTTGGCGGTTTTTGAATGGTGGCGACACCTAGCAATATCTGAAGGATTGTGATATTTACTTCGGCCTAGATCCTTGTGCTTTCGTGGTGCTTTATACCAGCTGTAACATGCTCATTGCTCACCCTTGTGTGTTGGTCGCCCGTCCACAGCACGAGGAGGCTATGAAGAAGCTGAGCGCCGAAGGCTCCAAGTCCAAGCTGGATAAGGCCGTCCAGGAGCTCATCTGCACCATCTTTGACGTCAACACAATGAAGCAGGCCATGGTCGAGTTCGACATCGACATGGAAAAGATGCCACTCGGCAAGATCAGCAAGAATCAGATGAAGAAGGCGTTCGAGATTCTGACAGAGGCGCAGGCGCTGGTGGAAAAGAAGGGCGACCCGGCGGCCAAAGCGCCCCTCCTGCTGGATTGTTCTAATAGGTGAGAGCTGATGGGCACGACACGGGGGAGTGGGGGAGAGAGACGGACGTGCGGATGGACGGACGGACGGACGGTAGGACAGGCAGACGCACAGACAGCCATAAATGCAATCAGAGGAAAAAATAGACAGAAAGGCAACCATCCAGACACTGGACACAAGCAGATAGGCAGACAAGACAGACTGCTTTGGCAGCATGAACTCAGTTCATTTTATTCGTTCTAAAAACTTGGGAATGTCATTGCTATTTTACCAATAATGTTGAGTCTAGTTTTCCAGTCTATACCCTAAATAAATAGCTCATGTTATTTACCTCTAGATCATTTTGGTCGGAGCACCGGCGTACCTACTGGATGACGATATTGTGTTGCGTTGTTTTTATTGCCCATTTATACATAATGGTGCAATTACTACTCATTTTAATGCGACCTGTTTACGTATCATCAGTCGTGTTTTGCTACGCGACATCGACATCTATCAACTCTATTATCATTTCACCATTTTCCATATTTTGTGCCGGAGCAGTTGACCAATAACCGCCCACTGGGCGTGCCGCCAGATTCTTCACTCTGATCCCGCACGACTTTGGCATGCAGAAGCCGCCACTCCTGGACAACCTGGATATCATAAAGGTAAGCACTGCTGGTCGGCACCCAGAACCCGGTGGTTGCCTTCCCCCCCCCCCCCCCCCCCCCCCGGTACGATCTGGATATAAAGGTAGGCGTGAGCAGCGAGGAGGGTACCCTTCAACCCGGCAGCATTCTCTGCGATAGGTACATATCGTATAACCGTTTCCGTAAACTGCACGTTGTTTATATTACAGTTTGTATCCTATAAAACATTTTAGTCAACTCCTGAGCACACCATGGTAGGTATTTACAGACTCCAGTAAACACCAAAGTATGTTTTATAACAGTACTTCCAGTCTCAAGTTAATTTCCCAGCACGCCATATGTAAATCAGTATACACACAATCAGGGAAAGCAATATACATAATATAGCAGCTATTGTCAACATCCGGCCTGCAGCCAACCCCGGGCACCGCCGGCTGAGGTGAATCGCTAAAACGACGTTAGAAATAGGCGGCTGACTCGAACCTGGCGTTCCTAGCATTGGGAGGCTCATAAACTCAGGTGGTGTTCGTGATAGTGGATGCCAATTTCTACAGTCAGCGCAAATGACGTCTAGCCTTCGGCAGCTGTCAAGATATAAGCAACCATTGGTACTGGGTGCTAACTGCTGGGTGTTCGAACATTGTGTGCGTCTAGGTTATTGCCGGGCCACATCGCCGCGAAGCTCTTCGCTTATTTATCACAAAGCAAAATATTTATCAGACAAGAATTTGTATAAGGATGCGTGGTTTTTTGTGAATTACTCAGCCGTCAGCAAGCTCTGGAGTGTCTGTAATCTCTAGTGTCGGGAATCTGAAAACCAGCTTGTTTTCAACTACATTCAACGACACCCGAAATTCATACAATGAGAACGCTCTAGAAGGCCTACCCTTATCAAGTAACGACACCGCCCAATTCAAGAAAACAGGAGGATGCTGGCAGCCCAATACGGCCATGGCAGGCTTCTTACGTCATATTCGTTCCGATGAACTTGTCTCGTGATCCCGTCGGCCTGCTCGGTATGGTATCTGGCCGGCCCGCCCGACAGGCGACGGTCGCTGTTCCCGGCCGGGGGACGGAGCTCTGTCGCGGGAGTCTGAAGGTAACACCACCGACCACCGTCACTGAGAGAACCCGCTGGGCTAGTCACGCTCGAAAACCGTGCCGTGTTGTCCGCTGCCCTTGGTAAACCCGCCTCAGGTAAACCCGCTGAAACCACCCGTGGTTCCCGCCCGGCCGACCGCGGAGGATCTCATCCAGCATACGGACTTTGGATTGGTGTATTTGGGTATCATTCGGATAAATGAATTTTCGGCTTACACACTGATTCATAATTTACACACATTTGTCTCGTAACATTCACATTTTTCTTCATATAAAGCCTAAAAGCTGACTGGCGCATGGAAAGCAAATAAATTACATAGCAAATGAGCAAATGTACAGCACTTTCTGGCTTGTCTGTAACGCACCAATGCTAAAATGATGTGTTTTGGTCTTTGGAGCCAGGCCGGAGATACGATATCGGTAAGAGGTAAATTATTCAGTTATAGCCTAACAGTTCGGATAATCAGGGCAAGGATGGGTAGAAATGGGAACGCTTATGCAATACGCTTACATATTTTTTTCCGGCGCACAGCATGAACAGCAATGTTCAGGGTTTCCAAAATATTGATGATCAAAATTCATCCATGATTTTACGGTGTTGCTAATTGGAATTCAAGAAAGTGCAGCCTCTGGTAGAGCTTACCCAGTGTTTATTTGACCCAATCAATGTATCAGTGCAGGTCGACCTATTCCAATCGTAAGTTGACTGATGTGCAACATAACATCACGGTCTTTCATTCAGCCTATTTCCACTATTGCTTTGTGGTCAAGCATACATCACTCACCGTTCCTGACTAGAGAGATACGATGAGGTTGATCTTGAAGTGTACAAAGGCAGATAGTTCGTTCACAAACTGTGCGCAAAAAGTGTATGTTAAATGCTTTGAGCATCGCCTGCATTGGCGTTTTCACAGCCACTAACGCATGGGGGTCCATCGGACCCCTCACAGCCGCTCGGCCCCTGATCGAGCTAGATCTTCACGGGAAAGTATATACGAGCGTGTTGCCCGTGACGAGAAGAAACCGATGCTACCCTGTCTTCAGGTCCTAGGTCATTGGTTGACATTCCAGTTCACGTCAATGACCCAAATGTCGGGAAAATCGGAATCTTCTAGAATTTCTTGAAGCGAGGGTTTCGAGATTTTCACAGTCGTGATTTCGACTTTCGAATTGATTTTGAACCAAGATGATGTATTCATGCACCACTTTTGATTCTTTAAACACTTAATCGCTTTTGAGATGCATATGTCGATTGTTAGGAGGATATAATCCAATGGCCAATGGCCATTCATGGTTGATGCCAGGGCCTGAACCTGTGAAAACAATCGAGAAAGGCTGTTTTGATTGACCCGTTGCAGTCGAACACCTGAAGGATCTGTGCCGCGCTGCTCCAGAGGTCTATGAATATTTTTTACAATTGCGCACACCGTTTCTCATTAGTCATTAAAACATGCAAACTTGTTATGAGAAGTACCTTTGTTCCGCAAGATAACCCACAACAAACAAGTGATGCCACAGATTCTAATTTGCAACCCAAGGTCGAAACCGAGGCCTTTGACCGACTCCATTTCAATTTCTTGTTGCCTGCCGTGACCCCGACTCCGGACTGCATGGGCGCAAAATGACCATCCTGTAGTCGGCCCGCCCTAAAGCCCCAATAAGCAAACAAACAAGACTCCGGGCCGGAAGTTGTTGTGATGCTAGAAAGCGTAGATAACGACAGGACAGGAAGGAGTACGATATTTTCTTCGGAAGATTTGGCTATAAAAACTGCCGTGTGTTCTGCAAATCCATTGCAAACCTGAAGCGCCCATTAGGCTTTTTCCCCAAAAATTAAGTCGTTTAGAAATTGTATATGTGCAGGTTTGTCATCAGTTATGGTTTAGGTATGGTGATGGTGAAGACTTTGGGAAGGTGAAGAAAACTTTATTGCGAACATTTTTTGCGGTCATTACTTGCAACAATATTTGAACCTCCGATTTCGACTCGGAAAATAGCACGGGTATCGGTTGTAACCCTCAAGCTGTACTGACCTAACGTCATTTAATAAATTGCTTTTCTCTTGATGACCTGAATAAGTAGTGTCGTCCACAAAAGTCTATTCTACTATTAGTGGGAAACACCGACAGAGGCTGGTGCCGGTAATTTATGCAACATAATCTATAATTGCTAGCAGAGCTGAGCACTGAGCAGCTAATGCACACTGATATCAGACCGGACTCGTCTTCCCCAGGTGCCCCCCCCCCCCCTCCCCCAGATAATTAGCATCCGAACGACCTATTACGTAGGTCATGTAGCAATTAGTGGAGCGGCTGAGGACGCATCTGACCGTGTTGTCCTCCCCCTACAGGAGAAGGTGGACATGGTATCCAGCCTGATGGACATCGAGCTGGCCTACAGCCTGATGAAGGCGGCCGACAAGGTCCAGTCGGCTGAGCACGAGGACCCCGTGGACACCCACTACAAGAAGCTGAACGCCGACATCACGGTGCTGGAGCGGGACTCGGAGAAGTTCCGACTGCTGGAGACCTACATCAAGAACACGCACGCGTCCACCCACTCCAACTACACGCTGGAGCTGGAGCAGGTGGGAGCGGGAGAGGGGCTCGGAGGGATGGGAAGAGGGACCGGTGGGAAGGGGAAAGGGGCGCGGTGGGAACGGAAACTAGACTGCGAATAAGGCCACTGGTTAACACTTAATTGCTCAGTTCACTTGTCTGGTTAAAAACATGATCAGACAGAGGCCAGTTTTACCAACAGAAAAATAGCCGCCTGCCATTTTTTGCCTTAAGACCGCTTCACACACGGAGCGTAAACGCGATGGGCACGTAAGCGGATAGGGCTTTACCGTTAACGCTCCGTATGTGAAGCGGTCTTCAGGCAAAAAAAAAAATCCGGCAGGCGGCTATTTTTCTGTTGGTAAAACTGGCCTCTGGTTTACCCTTCCAACCTGACCGTATGTTGCACCGACCCCTCTACGTTTGTTCACCGCCGTCCATGGTCTACCGTCAGGTGTTCTGCGTCAGCCGAAAGGGCGAGGCCACGCGCTACAAGCCGTTCAGCAAGCTGCACAACAGAAAGCTGCTCTGGCACGGCTCGCGTCTCTCCAACTTTGCCGGCATCCTGTCTCAGGTGAGTGAGAACAGCGGACTACGTATGGGAAAAAACGATCTCTTGTTAGATATGCATGCATTTGGTTACAGTTGTATGCAAATGTGGATGTGTTATGTATAACTTTGTTGTAGTTGTGATCGCTTCAGTCCACACAATAAGGCTCTCCCACCATAGAAAGTGACTGAATTGAAACAGTAGTTAGTGGATTAAATTGTGATTTTTTGTGTTATTTTGCCACCGCCCTCACCTCTCGGACTGATAATTAGAAAACACTGTAGACGTGACAGCAAATGCCTGTCACGCAGTGGAACCCTGTGGGGCCTGTTCATTAGGCACCAAGGTACTAAACACGATCGATACCCTGTCACCGATCCCAGACCGTCGCATCAAGCGCATCAAACCGGGGCTCATTCGATCCATTCAATCACCAGGGTCACTAGGCTGCAGTGGAAAGCATTACTCCATTGCACCGCGCTAAGCCCCGCCTACTTATGGCGACTGACTGTCCGCTGATTGGAGCGATTCAATCCAAGGCCATTGATGGGCGGAGCTTGAGCACTGCAAATAATGGGCTGTCCTTGCAGGGTATCCAATGTAACGTCCATCTTTGTTTTTAAAGTGCCTAAATGGCATTGTTGAAACATTATTGGACACAGGACAAACAAAGAAGAATGCAATTTGACTTTGTAACGGACAGAGCAAGGCTTAGGTAAGGGGCAAACCCTTCATCAGCAGCTACATAATTTTTGCAATCAAGCTTCAATTTGGTAGCAGGGTAAAGACAGGTTAGGTGGCGCCATCCACTTGGTTTAAATCACATGGGCCTTTCCATATAGACGTGGGCTCTCTCAGGCGCCGCGGGATGCTAGTATAAGCCTATACCAAGCCAGTGCAAGTGATAGCTTGTGCCCGCTATTTCTAGGCCCACTCCAGGATCCATTGAAGCCGGAGTAATGGAAACTTGCAGCCGGGGGGGGGAGGAGGGAGAGGACGTCTTATCTACTTAAAGTTTGAAAGTGTGCCCACCTCTATCAAAAGTTATTGTTGAAAAGCTGCGAGTGACCTTTATGACCCAAAATGACCTTTTGAGTGGCCGCTGGCATAGGCGGCGGAACGGGGAGGGCACCGGGGCACCGTGCCCCCTTTGATTTTGGCAGTTTAAAATTAGCCTTATGGGCGTTGCATGGAAAGAATGGGACCAAAAGTCGGCAGTGCCCCCCTTTAATTGAAGGTGTTCCGCCGCTACTGGCCGCTGGCCATCAGTTGCACCCTGTCCATTGCATATGGATGGAGTTCTCATGCTTTTGATAATCTTTTGCGTGTTTGACGTGCTCTTCAAAGCAGAGCGCATCCGTTCTTTTCTCTTACTACTTTGTAATGTTGAGTTCACAAATGTGACCTGATCCCAGATCACATATATGATTATCTGAAATTTATGAGTAGTTGGTACTGATACCCTCAATCTGACATTATGGGTGCAAAATGACCCCAGCAGTCGGCGCGCCTAAAGCTCCAATAAAGAAACATTTATTAACAACGATGCCCTCAATCTCATGCACTACACCGAGTGTAAAGCTTCTGGCTGATAACCTGTAGGAGGAATGACAGGATCACACTTTTTAGAAGAATGATTCTTTAACCTGGCATGGTGACCGGGGGTCAAAAATTCACACACGATGCCAAATTGGTGCATGATAAGCCATACCAAGTTCCGCTGCTTTGAACACCGCTTTTCTATACACGCGCAAAACAAAGACTGACAAGTGTGGCCGAAACGCCCCTCCCTCTCCCCACCAGAGTGAAGCTTGCCCAATCTACACTGACGGCGTCCCCAATAAGATAAATGTTTCCACTGCGATTTTCTTCTGGCAGTTTTTGTCCGTCCCACCAAAGTTTTGTAGTCAGTCTCAGACTGCTGGACATCTTCCGTAACTATTCAGCTTGTGCCATGCTGGGACTGCTTGAGAACCTGTCACCTTGGCTCTATCCTAGTTTACTGCGGCTCCTTTGCTTGTCCTTTATGTTAGAAACGTAATTCGGCAACGCATTGAAACTGCATCAGCAAATATTTAATAATTGGGTAATGTGTTCGAATAATATATGCATGACCATTCCAAATTATAGTGTTTGATATTCTAGACCAATTGTTACAACGAAAATATCTGTTACCTTCTTTCCAGTGTCTGCCTAGGTCCTCCTACACAGTCCGTGGAAATTGTTGAAATGCTATCACGGTATCGACTGTCACGTGTCAGGGAGCGTGCTCGCTCCTGAATTACCAGGGAAAGACGGAAATGAACATTACAGAGTCGTGTTGCCGGTGGTTAGTGATGTTACTTTTTCACCCAGCATTATTGTCGCTATTACGTAGCGCATCCGTCTCGGGTAATGGGTCATCAGAAAGCTATCACTGGGAGCTCCAGACGGCCCGCAATCACGCGTAACTGCCGCCGGCGTTGCGCAAGGAACAAGAAAAGAACACATCGGCAGCGGGAGCAGACATTAACAGGGGATTTTGACATTTTATATTCAGTCGCAGAATAATGGCATTTGATGACGCTAGCGCGAGTTGTCGATAGACGCAAACACATGCCTGTCTGCGTAGCTGTTTTTATATCGCGGGGTTTATGGTTTTCCACGCAGTACTTGTTGTGTTTGACCTCTTCCTCTGGTTTGGCTCAAAACTTCAAATTCCAAGTCTCATGAGAATTGAGGATAGAATAAGATGCAATACATATTAATCACTCAAAAATCATCTCCATCAGTGGCGGATCCAGGGGGGGCATCTTCTGGGCGTTTCCCGCTCCCGCATCGTCCAAAATTTACGAAACTTCGCCTTTTTTCTCGCATGGGAAGAAAACTAAACCACTTTCTTGGAAAAGTTTGCTTTAAGTTTCACAGGAAGACACCAGTAGCTTTGGAACTTGGAAAACGTTTTTTTGGGGGGGGGAAGTATGCCCGTTTCCACAGCGTCTCAAGCCACTTTTATCCGTCAGTGATCTCCATACCCCAAGGAGGTGGCTGATGAAGTAGTTGCTACTCAACCCCGGGGACTAAAACACTGAATGGGGGCATTCCATGTCAACCGGGACAGCCAAAATCGGCCACCTCTGCGATTTTGTTCAAACTTGGTATACTTATTGGCTATTGGGTGAAACCTCTGAGGGTGAAAGGATTTTGTCATATGCCCTCGGGCTACAGAGATACAAGTCGCTAAACTTCTGCTTTTTGAGCAGAATTGGACGTGTATTGCAATCTTGAAAGATCTATAGCTTCAACATTTTTGAAGCTATTAATTTCAAACAAACTGAAACGTGTACATAAGGAGTTATGCTAGTAAAATTTGACAATTTTTACATTTTTTGGTGATTTTGAATTAATTTTATTTTGAATTAATTTCTGAAAATGTAATTTGTGAAAAATGGGTACCCTTCGATTTTGCTCAAATTTAGATATCGTCTTCCACTACACGTAAAGCACACGTGCTGAGAAAATTAGAGTGGGCCAACGATAACTTTGGATGATATAGCAACAAGTAGTGCAACGTAGCACGGGCGGTGGAAGGGGCCGATTTCGCTAACTCCACCTGTTTATCGCCAATAACTCACGCCATAATTATCATATTAACGTCAAACTTTCAGTATCTGTCCAGAATCGCATTGCAAATCCTCCCGTGCAAGAAATAGGTAAATCGGTCCGCAACTTTTCTAGTAATAGCGGTGTAACGTCAAACATTCCTGCCGGAGCGGCTCGGCGGCCGGCGCCGGCCGTTGCCGCCTGAATGGTAGACTGTGCCGGCGCGGGACGGTTTTATCTTTGCACCGCGCTCCTTACCGCTGATTATGATCGATTCGTGTCAAATTTTGTATGAAGGCTTTAAAATGTACAGGCAATCTAATGTTCAAATAAATACGAAAATCAACTGGTAAAATTGAATGATTAGGGTGCAAACACAATATGTGACTATGACGTTTCCCGCGTCGGCCGATCCCCGCATCTGCCGGCGACATCTTACTCTTAGCAAGCCACAAACTGCCAAATTTATGGTAAGATTAACTAGAGATTCTCATAACACCACAAATGTCGTATAAAGGAAGAAATAGGAAAATCGGCCAGAGTCTCTTAGAGCTATGGGCGTATAAACGCAAAATAGTCACTATAGCAAATTTGATTACCTACGTTTAACCTCATTTGATCTTGAATATATTGATCCAGGGCCATGAAGTTGGCACACGATAAAGCTCCCCACCGCCCCACCTACAATTCAAATTTCTTTTTTTTTATACCTTTTTTGGCTAAACCTCCCCTATTGCTGGGAGTCAGGTGTGTTAGTTTAATTGTTTACATTCCTGGTGTGCTGTATATGTATACGTAAATGTGCACGGTCTTGAGCATGCGCATGTGTCTCTGGTTTCCGCATGTGTTTGGCATGTGCATGTGCATCCCGCGTTATGCATCCCGTGCTATGCCTTACTCATACTGTCTTCATTTACCTTTCAGTTTGTGGTGGGGCTTAAATAAATGCACGCTCAAGAGATATTGATCTTTATAAATTGAACATTGGTAGCAGAGCGTGGTTACAAGATGGCATCTAGAGATTTCAAAGCCCCACCACCTATGCGTCAAGATTTGCCATATTCAGAGTGGAAGCATGAGATCAAAGTGTGGAAAGCTTTCACTAGCTTGGAGAAGTCCAAGTTGGGACCAGCACTGTTCCTGTCCTTAAGTGGATCTGCCAGAGATGCAGCACGTGAGGTGTCAATAGAGATTCTGAACAGTGATACTGGACTTGATGCTCTCATAGAGAAGTTGGACGAGTTGTTCTTGAAAGATGAGAACAATGCAGCCTTTGAGGCATATGATGCGTTCGAGAGATATGAGCGACCATCTGGCATGTCTGTGTTTGAGTACATCAACACATTTGAAAGACTGTATCAGAAGGCAAAGCACTACAAGCTGGAGTTGCCTGATGGTGTTCTAGCGTACAGACTCATTCGCAGTGCTAACCTTTCAGATGC